TGCGCCCCCAGTTTTGAAGTGCTCAGTGGTAGTTTGCAGAATGAAGGTGCTCGAAGGTTTGGTCAGCTGTGGAGTTCTTAGGGGACAAAGTCATAGAACCAAGTTCTATGGCTCCTCATGCCACTCACTTTCAAGGGGAAGTTATTTTTACAGCTTAAAAGATCCACTAAAACCAAACCAAACTCACTGCCATCGAGTTGAATGCGACTCACTGTGACCCTTCAGGACAGAGCAGAACTGTACCATAGGGTTTCTATGGCTGTAAATCTTTATGGAAGCAGATGACCTCACCTTTCACCTACAGAGCACCTGGTGGGGTTGAACTGCTGATCTTCTGGTTAGCAGCCAAGTGCTTTAACCACTACACCACCAGAGCTCCTTGAGAGACCCATTAAAGAGGTCAGGGAATTTATTATTTTTAAAGGGATTCTAGAAGTTGGTGCCATAGTGCATGTAGGCCTTTCGGTGGCTGCAAGGTCCAGGAGATCCTGGTGGGACCACAGTTGTTGGACCTCACTATCCCATGCGTTATGCTTCTTTTCTTGAGCCAATATACTCAGAAACTGTGGACAACCCTTCGGCTCACTTTTCTGCTTGGTTAGAGTAGTCCAGCATATGGCCAGTGGTTTCTAGGAGTCAGAGGAAAAAATGTGGACTCTGGGAATTCTATTTTCCAGGCTGAGGAATGCAAACGTTCTTCCATGCATGCCTTACCCTTCAGAGGGTGGCAGTGAAGCAGGAGTCAGCAAGGCATGAAATGTGAAATGGCCTAGAGTATTATACGAAGTACTCCACCCACTTTATTAAATTCTCCTTGTGCAGCTTTCCTTTAAAATTCTAAACACTTAGTATCACTTCCCTCAGGAGAACTCTGCATTCACACCCATTGTGATATGACCACACTGAGAATGGGTGGGGGTGGGGGTGGAGGTGGGGGGACATAACCTGGAACAGCATCCAGAGGCTGGTATCTACAACCCTGTAGGCAACATCATCATTCTCTGTGCCCCCTCAAAAATTTTAAGCAACAGGTCAGATATTGTATCTACAATGGAAACACGGAAGGAATCAAACTAATACAAATATTGGGATACCTAATACTGAAATAAATACTAAAAAGTAATTAAAAATAAACTTCCCACTGACACAGCTCAGGCCTACCCTCCCACAAACACTAAAAGGAAAGGAGGAAGAGATGAACAAAAAGAGATGCCAGGCAGATAAGTGACACTGACTACTGAACAGAGGGATTCTAATTGCTGAGCTGTTAGGTTTCTTACAAAAGAGAATCTTTCTTAAGTCAAGAAAATACTGCTATGACCAACAAGAGTTTTGCAACACACTTTCCTATTAGGGGTATAAGACTCAAAGGAGATATGGAAACACTGTTGCAGCTAATGAATGCAGCAGCAGGATCACCTTCTCAAAAGGTGATGTTATGGATATGATTTCCAGAAAAATGCCAGTCAGAGGAGAAAGGGAACCTTCTAGCACATCTTCAGACTATGGGGGACGCCAGACACAGTAGGTAAAGAAATGGGCATACACACTTCCCTGCTCCATATTAGATGTCTGAGATGTCTTTCCACATCAGACATCAAGTACAACACCGTGGACCCATCATGCCACAACTCACACCGCTCCCTGCCAGAGCCATTTCCCACAGGATGCAGAAGTACACAAACTGCCATACACTTCAATATCTTTGTGTGACTTTCAAATGATGGCTACGTTTACAAATGAAGGAAGGCCGCTAAGAGTTGGAAGGACTATCCTTATTTAAGTCAAGGAGAAGTATCTAGAATAAAGTCAGAATATTTTGAAGACTTTTTCCCACCTGATAACTCTTTCTGTTCAAAAACCAAAAAACATGATGTCATTGAGTCAACTGTGACTCACTCTGCCCTCACAGGATTTCTAAGGCTGGAAATCTTTAAGGGAGCTAACTGCCACATCTTTCTCCTACAGAGCCACTGGTGGGTTCGAACTGCTAACCTTTTGGTAAGCAGCTGAATACTTTTAACTATGTACCACGAGAGCTCCTTTCTGTTCTGCTACTTAAAATAAAGGTAGATGGTTATTCAACTAAATTCCAAGTAAGTAGTATCACAATAAATCACACTTAACTAACAAAGTTTCTAGAAATATCCTGTCGTCGTCGTTATGTGCCGTCGAGTTGGATCTGACGCACAGAGACACCTACTTGGGTTTCCGAGGCAGTTATCACTACGGAAGTAGATTGCCCCATCCTTCCTTCTGAGGAGTGGCTGGTGGGTTTGAACCACCAGCCTTCTGGTTAGCAGTCAAGTGCCTTAGGCACTACGCTACCAGAGAAATAACCTGGTTGGCCAAAATCTTGTTAATTTCTTGGTTCAGAGAGACACTTCAAGTTAACTTCAGCATAACATCAGCTGTCAGTGTATCTAACTGCCCTGAGACATGAGACAGCCTGAGACTGAGGAAGGGGGAAGAGTATGGCAGTAAATTAAAGAAGAATTTCCCAATTTGCACGATGGCCTGAAGGCCTTCCTTGATCTGACTCCTGCCTATTCTGACTCAACCTGGAGGGCTCCAAAGCAGAGGTCGGAACCTCTTTGGACCAAGTCAGCTCACAAGACAAGAGCAATTTGTATGTTTTAAAACAATACAATAGATTTTAAGTAAAAAAAAAAAAAAAAAAAGTATTTTCTGATATGTGAATCAAATTCAAGTTTCAGGGCCTGTAAAGAAAGCTCTATTACAACACAGTCACGTCAATTCTTTTGAGTATTGCCTATAGTTGCTTTCACAATAGAACAAAATGGAGTAGCTGTGACAGAGAACAAGTGGCCAGAAACATTAAGCATCTAGCCCTGTATGGAAAGAGTTCACTGAACCCTACCCTAGAACATGGTGAGCTTATGCCTTTGCACATGCTGTGCCCTCTGTATGGAAGTTGCCCCACCCTGTCTTTGTGTGGCCAGCACCTTCTCATCCTTAGTTCTTAGCTCAAATATCAGTTTTTCTGAGTCACTCTACCCAGAGGAACCTAATCCTAACTTTACCCTGAATACTGAACTTCATAGCTCTTATCTGAAAGTGTCTTGTTCACATATTCAGGAGCAGTCTTTCCAGAAGAATGTAAGATTCCTGAGGGTAGTAAAGTCCTATCTGCTGTGTCTACTGTGGCATCCCAATGCCTAGCAGGGCAAACACGTGTGAACTGTGTGATCGCTGTGCCAGCCTCAGGGCCTCATTCCAAAAGGTCAGGCTATAAATGCCTTGTCTTTGGGCATCATGATATGCTTTGTTAAAGTAAAAACAAGCAGTCCAATAAAACCTGTTACACTTCTCAGAGGTTACATGTAACAACTAACTTGAGCTGTAAGTTAAGAACAGGATGTATTTTCCGCCAAAAGGAAGGGAGAAAACAGAGTCCACCACTCCTCAGGCTTCCGGGCATCAAGTGACAAGTGCAGAGCCTGCTTTGATCCTCCCTCTGCCTCCATCTGTCCACTGCCCAGGGCAGGAGGCTGACATTTCCCTGGTATTCAGACTCCGGTAAAATATAACCTAGTGCCTATAAATAGAAATGTCTTATAAACACTAATTAAAAATAACAGTCTGGCATTTGAAAGTTCCTATAAACAAAAATATAAGAGATGAAATAAACAACAGTTGCAGTCTTTGATCTTAAGCTCAGGTGGATAAAAAGCTACATGGTTTTTCTCTGGAGTTTTTCAATTGACATCTGATTTTATAAGGATTTTAAAATGTGTAATCTTACCCTTAATCAATGTGCTGGCTTTTCTCAGTTTATTCCATTTTAATTATTGTAAAATTAATAATATTTTACTTAACATATCCAAAATAATACCATTTCAATCTATACCAAAACCCAAACCCACTGCCACTGAGTCAATTCCACTCACAGGGACCCTATAGGACAGAGTAGAACTGCTCCAAAGGGTTCCCAAGGCTGTAAATCTTTACAGAAGCAGACTGCCGTATCTTCCTCCCATGGAGCAGCTGGTAGTTTTGAACTGCCAACCCTTTGGTTAGCAGCTGAATGATTTAACCACTGTTCCAACCACAACCCCATTGTAATCAATAGGAAGAACTTACTCATGACATATTTTACATTCCTTCTTTTAAATACAAATTCTTCAATATCCATTGTGCATTTTATACTTTCAACACATCTCAATTAAAAATAGCCACATTTCAAGTGCTCAATAGACACATGGGGCTAACGGCTGCCATGCTGCACAGCACAGTTCTAAAATGGTCAGCTATTTCATCAAGCCAAACTTACTTACTTTTCTGCATTTTGAGAGTTTTATACAAAGGTTTTCTCTTTGATTGCTCTTTTGTTTTACTTACAATGACTATATGCATTAAGTATTTATTAATTCTACAAAAAAACACAACAAACTGGAATTCATCTTAGGATTCACATTGCATTTTTCATAATATTGCTGAAAAATATTAAGGACCACATCATATTGCGTACCCACAAGCATCCTATTTTACTTTTCAAACCATGGCTGTTAGCTTTAGTTTTCATTTCCTTTACATATGGCTCTATCCCTGTCCTAACTAAATGCAACCAAGAAACTCTGACACATGGGAGCCAAGTTTCTTTAATGCACAACAGGACTGAGCCATCATCAATACACATGATGACCTGCCCACATTTACCATTCAAAAACTTTGAGGCCCTGGAGTCAGATTTCGGAAACACTGCACCCCACGTGCTTATTCCTTCAGGAGACTTATGTCTATCCTTATGACTTAAGGAGAACTGCAGGACCTTAAAGTACCATGGCAACTACAACTGTGGTCACAGGCCCCCTGCTGGAGCAAACACAACCAGGGAAGCAGTTCACTCTTTGCTTGAATACAGGCACTTCTTATAAGCAAACAGCATGGGAGTTTGCTAATAGAAATAGGAACTCAACATTTGGGACTGCAAGGGAACCAACATTCTTCACCAGTAAGGCAGATCTGCTCCCAGTTACCTCTGCATCCTGCTCAGGAAGGCAATATGTCTGCTGGAGGCTTTGCAGGGTTCGTGGGTACAGGGTCTTCTGCTCCAAGAGATGCTCCAGAAGCAACACCAGTTGGTCTGGAAGAAGCTAAGGGTAAAACCAAACAGCCTGTGAAAATGCTATTTAGCTGATAAGAAATTAAACCCAAACAGGTCAAAGATAGCACCTGGATAATTTTTTGCACATCTGAAACATGGAAGACTGCACAGCTGAATTTTATAAGACCTCAAGGCTCACACTACCTGAATCCCTAAGGTACTCCATTCTTGGGCGCAACTAAGGCCTACTTTTCATTTCAGTTCTTTACTTACAGCAGATCAAAACTGTGCTTATTTTAATAAAATATTACCACGGTTTATTAGATCCCTTTCTTTATGGCATACATATGCCAAAAGATGTCATTTAGCCTAAGGATAAAAAAGATTCAAGAAGCCATCTGATTTTAGGCAAACACGGATAGTTAACAGAAAACAGCTTTCAAATTTGTTTCTCTACATAAACCCTGCAAATGTACCTGCTGCACACAAAGAAAAAAGAACACTTAATGAAATAAGAGTTGTGTCTCCTAACCCCTCCATTATAAAAGTCTATTGCTTCTTTTAAAAAATTAAAAAATGGTTGTATACAAAACACACAAGGTCACCCATATTAATGAGTTTTCATACAAGATAGGTCAAAAATGGTGTTACCAGTTAAGGGTAAAGAGAAGAATGTCTTTACATGATCCAAAAATAAAACAAATCCTTTTGTGCTGGGCAAACAGTATCTGTGAAATCCAAGAATCTAAAAGTCACCTGTCTTATTTACTATTGTACTGCAGTGTTTCTGTCAATACCTAGCACAGAGCCATGCTCAAACTGTTACCAAGAAGAAAAGTATCAATTTAGATACATCTTATAGGCAACGAAAAATATTCTAAAATAAAAGTTTTAAAATTACAACGATGAACTCCACCATTCTCTGTTAATCTTCTCTCTATCCTGCATAAAGTTCCTGTCAACTAATAAAATATTAGTAAGAACTAGATTTTAATCTTAGTTTTCTGTTACTCTAAAAGAAACTTGCAAATTCCTGGGTTCTTTCCCTGCTTCTCTTCACCCTTCTGCCCCCAAGTGTGCACTCTGTCTGCCCCTTCTTCCTTCTCCCTCACTGACAGACACACACACTTTTCCAAAATGGGCACGTAGGAAAATCAGGTAGACGGTATATTTAGGAGCATATACAACATTCATTATGTAATCTTCTCACTTCATCCTTCTAAATTCTAATGAAACCCCTACTTCCCCACAGAGACAGACATGGGGATGCATATCACTTGGATGTATTTACTTCACAGCATCCCTCTGCCCACCTCAAAGTCATGCTGTGGATCTAGCAGTAGGAAACAAAGCTGACAGGAGAAACAACGGTGCTTCAGTGAAAATACAGGTTTATATTTACCAATGACCTGGAAGGTTCTATACAAGGACTCAAGGACTTACTGAGAGATAATTTCCTTTTAGAATTCATGTGTCTTAAAGATGCTTGGAAGATATCCAATAACTACTAGTAACAAAACAAAATAAAACAAAAACAAAAGTCTACCATTTTCTGTAAGTTTTAGATGTGGGAGACTACTTTAACAACTTGAAAGAAATCTGTTTTATAAAACAAGCCTAATCCAGAGACGCTCTTCCTTCATCTACACTCAAGAACTGCATGGCTGGTACTACTAGTGGTAGTCAGCAAAAGATGGGCTCTTATCCACTGGGGTGAAGTCCTGACTGGGCAGCAGGGAGATTCTTCCCTTTCTTGCTGGCTTCTTCTGTGATGGCTCTCTCTCTTTCTCCACATCACAGCCCAGCTGAGTGGCAGCAAAGCCTCTGACAGTCTCCCTTCTGCCTGTAGCTTCTTTCTCCTGTTCTTCCTTCCTCACATTTCAGGGGGCCTGTCTCTTGTGAAGGCTACACCTGCCCACAGCCTCAAGCCCAAGTCTCCTGGTTCCTCTAAGGCCACTCCCCAATACCTTCTTGTCTAAACCCCCTATTAGGTACCTTTCTTTTCTCCCAAATTGTAAGTCTTTTCTCTAGCACATACACGGTTCTCACCTCCACCTGTACCCTCAGAGGCCTGGCCTGGGTGCCCCTCCCTGAGCAGCCACTAACTCTACATGGGACACAAAGTGGGGCCCTGATGCACCAGGTACAGACCATGAGCAGACTGGGATCAGGACGCCAGGAATGGCTCTGGGTGCCCCCTTCAGCCCACGCGGGGGCATCTGCACAGACACCCTCAAAAACTGTAAGCAGTTTCTAGAAGTAGCCAATCTGAGGAAGGGCAGCTGTACCTAAATGTTTATGCCACAGTCAAGAGGACTCACTCCAGAAACAGGGAAGACTGGCTTCTGGGAACAGGCTCTGCCTAACAGAGAAGGGAATCTCAGCACTAATAGTGCTCGATCCAGGGCAGAACATCCACTGACCAGGAATGGAACCTCACTTTCATTGGGGATCATTTGCTAACTAAATATAAGCAGGTACCAGCCATGCCAATTTGCAGGATTACAGAGAAGGAAAGAATGGCAAGAAAAGTATCTACCTATTTTGTGCTGGAACTTACAAAGAGGCCAATTGTTAGAATTGCATTTGGGACTTGGTTTAAAACAGACACTGACAAAGGAAAGAAACCCTCAGTAAAAAGACTAGCTTTGTCCTCAACTTACCCTAAATGGATGTAGCCAATAAACAAAACTCCAGTTTAAATCTAAGAATTATTAATATATGAACCTATCAAAATACTTGGATTCATTTATCTTCTTAGCACAAAGTTCACACATGTGCATATAGAAACAGAACTGCAAACTGCTGGCAGTTTTGATCCTCTTTAAATTTTACTCAGTGGAAATACTTAAAGCTAAGCTGCATGACTCAAGATGGAGAGCTGAGATAGAAGAGAGTGTGCTGTGTAGTCAACCCTTTGCAGTTCTTTAATAAACGTAATCTTCTGTAATTGGAGTGAGGTACAGATCAAGCGCACACCCCACCTCCAGGTATCTGTTCTTCTGTCAGGACCTACGCCTGACGTACCAGTGCAAGAGCCAGCTTGTCCAGAGGCAGGCAAAATGCAACTAGGTCCTCCACAAGGACGATTAGAACATTCTTCAATAACGCTACAAGGTCTCTTCTGGTCCAACTCTTTAAAATGGACTTGTATAAATGACTCTCACTTACTAAACAATCTGTAGTTATATGGCTTTCAACTGCAACTCTTATAATTCATGGGAAAAATGATGTTTCTAAACAATTTTTTAAAAAATAGAGAAAATAAATCTGTCCTTCTTATGAATTAATGCCACTTTAGTACCTAGACAAGATAACTAATTTGGTGTGTTTCATTCACAAAGAAGTAAACACAACATAACTTTTATATGCGAGCACAGCCTAGAAAAGAGTATATTAAAGCCAAACTGTGGTAAAGAGCTATTCTCTGAGTGTATTTTCTTTGCAAAATAAACTTTTGCTGCATCTAACACCACCCCACAATGAAAAGGAAATAAACTGAAATGTTTGCAAAGCAACTAGAAGATATCATATACTAGCAAATATTGCCAGAGCATGGCGCTGGGCGAGACATGCCCCGACAGCTGGCACAACAGTGACGGGAAATGGTGCATGGCTCATTCCACTCCCACCCATGTTGAAATCAAATTAAATTTCACATGACTTCTAGGCCAACTCTATTTTACTACATCAATAATGAGGAAGACAGATATGCTTTCATTGTACTATGGAGTGATCAAGAAAAATAAAGTAGTTTCCAAACATTATCTCCTAAGAAAGCTGTTCTTTAAACCTTATCAAAAGAACTTGCCTTGATTTCTTAAGATTAAGAATGTGCCCATCAACCATCAACAGTGATGGGAATTGAAAGTCCTTTCCTTTGCACAAAAAAGGAATTTGTGGTAGGGTTGTTATTTTTTTTTTTCCATACAAAGACTAGAGCAGTATTTTAAAAATGCATCTGCCTCAAAAACTTAGACAAACTAAGATTAATCAAAACCAAACTCACTGATGTTGATTTCAACTCACAGTGACCCTACAGGACAGAGTACAACTGCCCTATAGGTTTCCTAAGGCTGGACATCTCTACAGAGGCACACTGCTTCATCTTTCTCCTGCAGAGCTGCTGGTGGGTTTGAACTACCAACCTTTCAGTTAGCTGCCGAGCGCTCAACAACTGCGCCACCAGAGGGTGCTAAAATCATGCTGAACTCTTGAATGACAAACTTCACAGAATCAAACAAATCACTCAAATGAATACAGAAAGTGCTGAAGGAGGTCAGTCAGGTACAAATGTTGTTATTAAGGATTTGGAAGGCTATATTCTTACTCTGGACATGGAGGATTCCATAGCTGCTAATTACCCAGAAATGTACAAAGGAAAAAATGTCTATCTTGTATTTTTCCAAGTCAACTGAAATGCTGAGGCTAGCCACCCTAATGGTTTTAAAGAGTTTCCACACAGGCTCTTGGAAAGAAAATACAAATTTACAAACCCACCCTAGCCTACAAGCAGCACAAAGAAAACAAGACCTGACTCTTCCAGAAGTCTCAGAATGCTGTCACAAGGGCACCACTCACTCGGAGCTCCCAGAAGACCACCCACACAACTGAGGCTCTCTACCATTTCCATTAGTTCCACACAGAAGAGGACATATCACATCCTAGCTCAGAAAAATGTCTTACTGACCTTCCACAGGCAGCACCCATGGCAAGGAACCCCAGCGCATGTGAACATATCCACAACCCCACTGTCTGTAACCCTCCAAAAGCAAGGAGGAACCTCGCCTTGCAGGGTGCTGTAGCCTGCAATGAAGGAAGGTGGAGAGAAGCTCCCAAGCAGGGACTGAGCTGGGACTAATGTAGCCAGCCACCGATTGACAGTGGCTGACAGTGGCATGGAGTGAGTTCTATTATTACCCTATTATCACTCTGGGATCTGTGCCTAAATGAAGCATACTTCCTCCCTGATGCCATTTCCTTTTATCCTGACTGAAGACTAAAAGCAGATCAATGGGGGCAATACATATGATGTCACTTCAATTTCCA